CCCCCCGTCTGCCTGCTGGCACACACTTCCTTCTCCAGGATCCTGCTCCTCAGGACCAGCCAGCTAGGGCACCTGCAGGCAGTAGGGCAGTAGGGCACCTGCTTCTTCCCATCCATTCTCTCTGGCTCGAGGAAGCAGAGACCATTCAAGAAGTGGTGGATGCCCTCTCGTTGAGAGTCAGATGGACCCCAGTGTGCCCATTCCACCCCCTGCCAACCAGGGGCCATCTGATCTAGCGCCAGATGGACCCGCCGAGATGTGTGTAAATGGGGGCAGTGACCTGTCAAGATGGGGTGCAGCACCACCTCCCTTTATGGGTCCCCTGCTGGAAGAGTCCATAGGGCAACCCTCGCCAACTCACTTAGCGGGCATCTTTCTCCACGATACGAGTGGAAGTATTGTGAGTTCCTGTGGTGCCCCTGCACCCCCCCCACACACACACACACCGTTTCCTGTGGGTCACTGCTTGATTGTGTGTCTGATTCCCGGAGAAAGGCAAAGTTGAGAGTCAGAGAAAAAAGAGTCCTGCCCTTGGGGCACTTGGGAGGGTGCCCGGGGAAGGGCCTGGGCGCCCCTTTGTCCTGCGCAGAGCCTCACAGACAGTTCCTCTTCTTGCCAGGGTGCCCTACAAACTCAGGCGTACATGCCCGATGCCGTCTGGTACCACTACGAGACCGTAAGTATCTGCACCCTTATAGGAGTATCTCGCTTGTTTCTGGGCCTCCTCTGCAGAGCAGGGAAAACTCAACCCCCCTGCCCTTGAACGACTCCGACTCACAGCGACCCTGCAGCACAGGGCAGAGCCGCCCCTGTGAGTTTCTGAGACCTGACTCTTGACGGGCGTAGACAGCCTCGTCCTTTTCCCTAAGGAGCAGCTGGGGTTTTGAACTGTTGACCGTGTGGTTAGTTCGATGCACTGGAAAACCGAACATCCCACAGGGCTTCCCGGCCCGGAGCCCACCGTTTCCCTAAGGCATGGAGCCTGCTCAGTGTTCAGCACTCAGACACAGCTGGGGTCTGGGGAGCTGGGAGGCTCTGGGTGCTGACAGGCAAGCACAAAGGGGGCAGGGCCCTTCCCTTGTCCAGGACTCTCCGCTCATGTGTGACCGAGGCAGACACTGCTGTGCCAGCCTCAACCTTTGTGCTGTGTGGTGGCCATCTAACTGTGGACACTTGGGGTTGTGGGCCACTGTGGGGCATGTGTGCTGACCCCCATGTCTGTGCTCTGCCTGGCACACAGGGGGCACGGGCGACGTGGAGGAAGCAGCAGGTCGTCATGGAGTTGCCTAGAGACAAAATCGGGCTTCACCTGCGAGGAGGCTTCATCTTCCCCATACAGCAGCCCAGCACCACCACTGCGGCCAGGTACTGCCCTCCAGCCCCAGTGCTGGGGCCAGCGTGCCTGGGGAGGAGGCTGCTAGTGTGTGCGTGCGCGCGCGCACGTGTGTGTGTTGGGGGGGGTGCTTTCACACTGTCCCTCGGGTTCTTTGAAGCCCCTTTGAGGATACGGCTGACTTGCACGTACAGACTTGATGGCAGTAGTTTGGTTTTGGGTTGTGGTGGTCCTGAAGTTCACCCCCAAACACTCTGCCTGTCAGGGTGGTCGGCTGTCCTGGTCTGCCACCACAGTCCCCACATAGGGCTCAGACTCCCATGTGCTGGGCAATCACTCAGCCCCTCAAACCAGGCCACTTGCCTCATGCCCTGCTCAGACTGGTCCACTCAGCCATAATACCGACAGCTCACTCATCCACATTTCTAGGCAGTGGGACCCACGCCCACTACTGTCTCATTTGCTTGTTTGTTTGTGTTTAGCTGGAATGCACTTGATGGCAGGGGCTATTTCTATGAGGCAGGACTGCTTCAATGGCCATCCTTTTTGTTTTACTGAGCCAGAGCCAACTCTACAGCAGTGGGTTTGAGAAGTGGACTGGCCGTCGGCACACAAGGAAAGGGCTTCAAAAAGCTCATGGAAGACCTCCCATACTTTTAAATTCCACTTCTCTCTGCAGGACTAGTTCCCCCTTCTAGACTAGGATTTCCAGAGCTTCGGACTTCCTTTGCCAGCAGTGGGCCACTCTCACTCGTGTCTGAAAGAGACAGCTTCTCTGGCTGTCCTGCTTGGCGTACGGTCCACTCCCCCTGGCATCAGCACGCAGGCCCTCGGCGCATCTTCCCGCTGTTATCTAGTCTCTTGTTTGTCTAAGACTGTGGTGTCTCCTGGAGGTTCCTGTTAGAGGACAGGTGTCCAAGATGATCAGTGGGTGTGACTTGAATTAGCTGTTGATTTTCAGGATCGTCAGATCTGTGGCCTGCTTGCTTCTGAGGCAGCCAGTGTGCTAAGCTTTATGCCACTGCCCTTTCTCTTAAAGGGAGACAGGCCAGATGCACCCATAGCTGGGACCTTCCCAGGAGGACAGGGCAGGGGCTGGCATAGTGTGGAGAAGGGCCAGGTGTGGGGGTAGGGAGGGCACAGGCGGTGGACAGGCCTGGGGGGAGCGGCCGGGGCCCTGGCCCACACCTGAGCGGCGGTCTCTGTGGCCCGCAGGTTCTACAACGACAGCAACACCTGGGATGTGCACCGGCAGTTTCTGTGGGGGCCCGGCCTCCTCATCACCCCGGTTCTGGAGCAGGCAAGTCTCCCCGGGGGTCAGTCCTGATCTCTGTGTTTCTCCCTGGCCCTCGAGACTGTCCTCCCTCACCACAGCCTCTCCCAACACTG